GTCCTGACGGTCACGTCAAAGGAGTGCTTGACTCCAGCATTTTCTGCTTCCAGAGGAGCAGCAGCCGGAGCCACACCAAAAGCAACTGCATCATTCCTTTCAAAGGCTAAAAAGGAGCAATTAAGCACACGTTCTTGCTTTCTGCTTGCACTTTAGCTCTCTAGCTATAAAAGGATCTCAAAAGGTCCCCTTTTTTGCATTTATTAAACTAGAACACACAAATTTACTGATCCACAGAGATAAGGAATAACCTCCCATAACTCAATTCACCATGTCATGCAGAAATCACTTAAGGAAAGAACGGCCTATCTGTATAAGCTTACCTCTAGGGAAGTTGTGATAGTCCTTGCACCGAAGGGCTAATGCAGCGATATTTGCTGCGATCTTCATTCACACGCTCTGTCAGAGTAAGAGGTCAAAACATGGACTTCAAAATCTGCGAGTATATTATTCAGTGACTAAATGGTCATGAATGGTTTTCTACCTTGAAGGTTGTGTAGGCTTCACTTATAGGAATAGGTCGATGGGGTTGAAAACTTATACACTCTGGTTCATCTTCAACACTGTATGGGTAAACGGATCGCATCGGGAGCAAGTCGAACACCTGGGACCATGAAACAACGTTAGTTAGTGCATTGTCGAATTAATGCACTAATGTTTGTTTACTAAAACTGCTATAATGACCACCACATCATAATAGCTTAGGTTTGTCCAATAGACAGCAGAACTCAAATAAAATTTCAGTTCATTCTGGTTCTCAAATCCGATTGGTTGAGAACCGTGAGATATTGTACTGGCACTGCTACAGGAACACCCTTTCACAATTTTGTATCACTCCACTTGTTCTAGCACGGTCTTTTTTTTTTTTTATTCACTGAGCCAATTGTAGAGTACATTAGTCAATATAAGAAACATCTAGCTTCGCGGTCTCTCGCTCCCATTTGGATGCACGTCTTGCCGCATTGCTTCTCTTATAACCTTATTATTTCTCACTAATAACCTAACTGAAGCAGCACATGCCCTTGATACGAATTCTAAAAAAAGTGACATGTTTAACTGTCAACTTGAGCTTTGAATCGGTGGCGGAAGTAGCTCCGCACAAGAGGGTTTTATTAGGCGCTCCGTTGTTTCTCATTTAATTACACATGTTCCTTCAAACTGTTGTATAAACGCAATCACTCGACTGATATCGGCTCTATATCAGCAGCTGTGATTGCCTCTGGCCTAATCACAGCCATACTGATATAGAACTGGTATCGCGCTCGTACTCAAGTGATATTGCCAATATACATTCCTGCACATGTATACCATTTTAGGACTCAAACGTCTTCCTGGCTCCATGATCCGGACACTTTGATCAACAGCGCTGAGGCCACACAGGGATCCTGCTTGAGCAGAGACGGTCAAAGTGTTTTCCTCACCAGGAATGGCAGTAGCTGGAGAAAACTGCAGAGACACCTGGAACATCAAGCTACTACACTTAGGACATGTCACTGCTTCCATGATGTGAAAGATGCTAGTGCTCGTCACACCTCGTTTTGGAAACACATTTCTGTGTCAAAGGATGCACTAGCAGCAACTACATTCTCACTGGGTAGAACACAGAAAGCCAGAATCTGCACTACTGGAGCCATATCAACTGCACCGAAGGGCTAATGCAGCGATATTTGCTGCGATCTTCATTCACACGCTCTGTCAGAGTAAGAGGTCAAAACATGGACTTCAAAATCTGCGAGTATATTATTCAGTGACTAAATGGTCATGAATGGTTTTCTACCTTGAAGGTTGTGTAGGCTTCACTTATAGGAATAGGTCGATGGGGTTGAAAACTTATACACTCTGGTTCATCTTCAACACTGTATGGGTAAACGGATCGCATCGGGAGCAAGTCGAACACCTGGGACCATGAAACAACGTTAGTTAGTGCATTGTCGAATTAATGCACTAATGTTTGTTTACTAAAACTGCTATAATGACCACCACATCATAATAGCTTAGGTTTGTCCAATAGACAGCAGAACTCAAATAAAATTTCAGTTCATTCTGGTTCTCAATCCGATTGGTTGAGGAACCGTGAGATATTGTACTGGCACTGCTACAGGAACACCCTTTCACAATTTTGTATCACTCCACTTGTTCTAGCACGGTCTTTTTTTTTTTTATTCACTGAGCCAATTGTAGAGTACATTAGTCAATATAAGAAACATCTAGCTTTGCGGTCTCTCGCTCCCATTTGGATGCACGTCTTGCCGCATTGCTTCTCTTATAACCTTATTATTTCTCACTAATAACCTAACTGAAGCAGCACATGCCCTTGATACGAATTCTAAAAAAAGTGACATGTTTAACTGTCAACTTGAGCTTTGAATCGGTGGCGGAAGTAGCTCCGCACAAGAGGGTTTTATTAGGCACTCCGTTGTTTCTCATTTAATTACACATGTTCCTTCAAACTGTTGTATAAACGCAATCACTCGACTGATATCGGCTCTATATCAGCAGCTGTGATTGCCTCTGGCCTAATCACAGCCATACTGATATAGAACTGGTATCGCGCTCGTACTCAAGTGATATTGCCAATATACATTCCTGCACATGTATACCATTTTAGGACTCAAACGTCTTCCTGGCTCCATGATCCGGACACTTTGATCAACAGCGCTGAGGCCACACAGGGATCCTGCTTGAGCAGAGACGGTCAAAGTGTTTTCCTCACCAGGAATGGCAGTAGCTGGAGAAAACTGCAGAGACACCTGGAACATCAAGCTACTACACTTAGGACATGTCACTGCTTCCATGATGTGAAAGATGCTAGTGCTCGTCACACCTCGTTTTGGAAACACATTTCTGTGTCAAAGGATGCACTAGCAGCAACTACATTCTCACTGGGTAGAACACAGAAAGCCAGAATCTGCACTACTGGAGCCATATCAACGCTAACAGATAGGTGGACCGACACGGATCCACTTGTGACCATATCAGAAGCCCTCATGGTGATAACCTCTGGATAAGACCTGACAAAAGAAACGGGTGCATAAATAGGTGCTGGACAGACCATTGACGCAAGAGGAGAATTTATAAAAAAAAAAATAATAATAATAAATACCCCACACACAGATGTCAGCTCACCATATAGATGTCAGTACTGTAGCCGCCAGACTCTCCAACAAATGAACACTTCACGGTTATAGGAAACACAGCATCACACTTGAGTGGTTGCTCGAACTTTACTGTACTCAGTGCACTAATCGTTGGGTTGTTGGAAGAACCAAGTTGGAGAAGCTGAACAACCCTCCTATCTGTAGCGAAGTATGCCAAATTGTAAGTATAAACAATGGCTGGAGTTGCACTTGCCTGGAGAACAAATGAATTTAGGTACATGCAAGAGAATGATTAAAAAAAAAATATATATATATATAAAATAAATAAAGCAGCAAATCTTACCACCAGATTCAGAGCCGCTTTAGCAAGCTTAACAGTGTATAGGGGGGACGTGGCCAGGCCATTCTGGTTTGTGGTCAGATTCAGCAGCATTTTGTTGGGCCAGCTGTTACCATCCAGCAGATACACCGCTTTGTTCATGATTGGAGTCCCATTGAAATGACCCACGGAGATCTGCTGGGAAAGATTGCGGTTCTGAAAGGGAACCAATGTGAAGGCTTACGCAAATGGACAAACTTTTACTTGCCTTTCCATTAATCATTTCTCCAGGTTCAAAATAATCTGGGAGGGCCAAAAACTTGACCTTGCCAACTTCAAACGTAATGGCCAGTTGCAGATTTTGTCATCACTACATCTGGGAGAAATATGAACAAGAACGCACTGAATAAACAAGTCAACTTCCTCAGAATACTAGCCACTAGTTAAAAATCAGCCCATCTCACCTGTTCCCTCCTCAGTGACATTCACAGTAACAGAAAATAAATCTTGCAGATTCTCAAATCTGGGGTTGAAAAAGAGTGACGTACTGATGGTGAGGGAGGCACAGCCAGTGTCATTCATCTGGTAGCAGAGCAAAGAAAAATCACATTCAAGTCAAGCAAGAGCACAAGAAAAGCCCTCTGCTGCAAGGCAGGAGTCACACACCCTAGCGGTTTTATTCAGGCACTGACGGGTCAACTTAGGAACCAACGTACGGACCACAACACTTCCACCAACACTTGACCAGGTACAGGCTGCCCATATGTGTATCTGGGTAACAGCACAAGAAACAAGATCAAACTGACAAGCCACAAGACGAGAGAATAAGAGTCACTCACTTGGCACAAGCCTCAACTTTCAGTCCCACATCTGCAATGCTGTACATCTGTGGTGTATTTATGGTCACATCAAGCTTGGGCAAAACTAAACCAGAAACAAAACATTTTACATTAAGACCTCAGATCTATTCTTATTGTACTGTTGCATACCGTACACAATGACTTGCCGTATTTTTTCACCTCAAACCTGGGAGGTAATTCTCTCGCCAATGAAAGCTCTGTGTGTACATCCCAACCTGAGCTTCGGGGTTTAACTTGTGAGAAAGCTCCAATATCCACCTTGAGGTAACATTTGCCCACTGACCGATCCGGTTATTAAGATTGTCCTATAAAAACAAATTAACAGCTCAGGGAGGGGAGGGGGAAAAAAAAACCATTTCAAAGACTTGCTCAAGAGCAAATTCTCACCTCTACTACCACCAAACTGTACTGTAAGACAGTGTAATTCTAGGCATTTAAAAGCACAAACATGCTTATGTAGAAAAAAATAATAATTGCAGTGTGAGGTGCTCAAGTTGGTGCACTTTTCACAATTGTTCAGATCACTCACTATGACGAAAGATCATGCCTTACCATTTGATCAAAAGGCACATATTTGGCATCCATGGTGACAACTGAAATGAACTGCAAAACGAGACTACAATAAACTCCCATTCATTACATAATGCACTTGAAATGATCAGAACTTGCAATATAATGGGCTTTCTACAGCTGATATTTATCCAAGCGTCATTTGTAGCTCACCCGCTTGTCCTGGATTATAGATAGGTTTCTGTTTGAATGAAAGTCAAAGGCAGGTAACGTCTGAACATGACTTTCCTCTCTTCAGTCACTTTGAAGACTCTCCCTTTAACTTCCACCTGAAGCTTCTGCAACAATTCTCCATCTACTTGAGGAGCCTATAGAGAAATGCCCATTTTATGTACAACAAACCAGATTTAAAAAAAATTCTACATCATGACGACAGACCTGGAAACTAAAGCATCGGTGAAACGCCATCCGAGAGCTCTGCTGCACAAGTGGTGTGATCACATTTCTCTCATCAAGCAGAGAAATGGTCATTGTGAGTTTCTCTTGGGGTTTCAGAAGACTTGCACACAATGTGGCTTCAGAACCGGACTCAATCACTCCAGGAAACGTCACTATAAATAACCTGTGAAAACATAGGTTCAAAATCAGGTCAGAACATGGTTGAACGGTCACAGAAAGTGGCTGCCCGGTTTATAAAGTCCAAATATTTAACCAGCTAGTTAGAATACGTTTGATGGAAAAAAGGATTTGATGTTCAGGACATAGTAACAGTAATTAAGCTATGTCCCCTGAGGGCGTATTACCCCACAGACTAGGTTTGAAAATAGTCACTTAAAAAAATAAATAAATAAAACTTGAACATACTCGCTAGCTACATGCCTTACTGTTGTCATACCATATATAACTGATGTTCTACTAAACAAGCTTTAAAACACTTTCCTCTCTGCTGAAAATGAGAATTTACTGTGAAATCCATTTTCATCACCAGAGTAAGCCTCATGAGGAATACTTCTACATCACGCTTGTCAACTTAGTCCATAGTTACCAACAAAAATGTAGCTTGACTATCTTCAGTGGTTATTTTGGAAAAAAAGTGGTGGGGCATACAATTAAAGCTCTGGTGCTTCTTGCCATCTTTAAGTTAAGCAATTCAAACAGCATCAATTACTAGACATAAGGATGCGTCTGTTCACTCCAAAGACCGTTTAATAGTCTAGTAACGTTACTTACGGCCCTGATATCCGCTCAACAACCTCCGGCTCTAATATCGGTCCATGATCAACAGCGATCGGCCCTGATCTCCTGCCATCAACAGCAAAGAAGAAAAGGGCTAAAATGAGCCCCTTCCCAACACAAATATCCATTACAGCCATGAAGAGCGATCATCCAAGTCCAGACAGAAATCGAGCACCTCTTTTCAAATATTTAATAATTGTATTCAAGGAAATGCACATTTTTGTTTCGTGACAGGGTATGGACGTTACGTTGTCAACAGTAAAAGTGAAATTCCTGTATTCTTTGTCACAATGTAACCTGTGACTTACAGTGAGTTCAAGTCCTCCTGGGACGTTCGTACTTACGAGTTGACAAGTCGTAATTAGACGTCAGGTGCGTTCAAGTCAGTTTAGTCGGCACAAGATGGCAGAGTACCTTTTAATAAATTACAAGAAAATACAACAGGGCCTGCATTTTTTTTTACTTGGATTTCAGCTGCGTAACAAGAACATGACCAATTTAGGTTTATACAATTAAACTATCAATTTAAACAAAAATTTACCGTCAACTACAGACGTTGCATCCATCAATTCCGCCATTTTTCTCATTGACACGCCCCCAACTCGGAAACTTGGGGCTTAAGAAAATTTTGAGTTTCCCCACTCGTAATAATGACTTTATAATTGTATTCAAGGAAATGCACATTTTTGTTTCGTGACAGGGTATGGACGTTACGTTGTCAACAGTAAAAGTGAAATTCCTGTATTCTTTGTCACAATGTAACCTGTGACTTACAGTGAGTTCAAGTCCTCCTGGGACGTTCGTACTTACGAGTTGACAAGTCGTAATTAGACGTCAGGTGCGTTCAAGTCAGTTTAGTCGGCACAAGATGGCAGAGTACCTTTTAATAAATTACAAGAAAATACAACAGGGCCTGCATTTTTTTTTACTTGGATTTCAGCTGCGTAACAAGAACATGACCAATTTAGGTTTATACAATTAAACTATCAATTTAAACAAAAATTTACCGTCAACTACAATGCTGTGCTATGATCAACAAAATTACAGGGTTGTTTTATAAACTAAATGTTAACTGAAATATGTGCAATATGAATACAATAAAAAGACATACTTTAAATGAAAATGAGAAATGTTGCCTTGTCAGCTAGCTAAAATAATAAGCAACAAGTTAAAATCTGAAAATTCAATAAATGCATTACACAATTAACTAATTCTTAATAAATACAGTGATATTACTACTAAAATGACACAAACAGACAACGAAATATCTACAACTTAAAATAAACAATGGAAAATATTAAAACCAATTCAAAATCTTAATAAATACTATAATACTATTATTAAAAATGTCAAAAAAAGAAAAAGAAAATGGAAAATATATGAATTAAATCTAATTCAAAATATGAATAAAAATGAAATGTACTATAATTGTCACACCGCAGGACTGTTTGTTGTGTTTTCACTCCCCATGTGCTCTGTGACCTAGATTCTGTCTGTGTCTGATTGTAGCTGTGTCTCATTCAGAAGGCTGCGTCCTCCGGAGGTCGCATTCGAAGGCTGCATACGTCATCGAGGCTGTCTCATTTCAGAAAAGCAAGTAGGACACTCCGAATGCGACCTTCGAATGCGACCTTCTTTCACAGGAGTTCGGAGGATGCATGAGGTGTATCCTTCGCTGCTACAGATAACCCACAATTCTTTGCGTCGCCGTGAACAACCGTTGTTAAGTTGAAAAATGCAGGCGCCGGCAGATGTAACGTACACACAAGCGCAGATGTGGTGTTTATAACTTACCTTAATTCGCCTCGGTAAAAACGGATAAACTTTGTTTTTAATATCCTCCTCCTTTTTTTCTCTAATTGATGCCTGCTGTACGTACGCTGCAGCTCCTCAAACATTGAACAAAATATAACAAGTAAAAGCATTTTTTTTTTCAAAATACTTTCCAAATTTAGAAATAAATTTCCTTCATTTAAGTAGTGTGAGAGCGCAACGATGCTCTAAATGTGTTGGCATAGCAACGCGAAACTTCCGGTTTCCTTTTCCGCCTGTCCTACGAAGGCCGTCTCGTTTAATTCTAGGTTGAGGACACTTCGTATATGCATCCTACAGAGGACTCGACCTCCAGAGGGTGCAGCCTTCTAAATGAGACACAGCTTGTGTCATCATGTTCAGGTGTGTCTCCTCAATTATCATCCCTATATAAGTTCCTATTCCTATTCAGTTCAGTGATTCTTTGTCCGGTCTTGTCGATGTGTATGTCTGTATTACCCTGGTGTGTGTATGCTACTTCCCTGCTATGGATTACTCGTATGTGGATTATTAAAGAACAGTTTATTGTTATATTCTTCGTGTTTGTGCTTCTCTCCCGCAACACACCCGTGACAATAATAGTATCAGTGACACAAAAATAACACTGCTCCTGTGTTTACAGCTGGGATTTAATTTCTCTTTTCTTAAAGTTGTTTGTTTTTCATATTAAAAATATTTATACCTTTTTGTTCATAATATCAGGAATTTATTATACATTTTATGAATTTTCTTCCATTATTATTATTGTGTGAAGAGCTGCTGGATAAGAGTGTGTGCAAAATGAATACAATAAAATGACAAACTAAATGAAAATGAGAAATGTTGCCTTGTCAGCTAGCTAAAATAAATAAAAATCTGAAAATCTACATAAATTGTAAAAAATAATACAATTACAAACATTTAAAAAAATGATAAAAACATGGAAAAATACAAAAAAGTTCAACTAAAATTGAAATTAAAATATAAAAATCGTTCAAAATCTTAAAAAATACTATAATACTACGACTAAAATGACACAAACACTCAACAACATCACTAAAACAAACTATATGGGGCGGTTTCCCGGACAGGGTTTAAATTAAGACAGGAGTAGGCTTATTCTAGAATAGTTAATCATGGTTTAAAAAAGTCTTTCTGAAACACAGATTAAGTACAGATTACTAACTCCAGTGGCCTCATTTATCAACAGTGTGCATAATGAGTACAACAGCAGATGTGTGCGTAATGAGTACGTAAGAACAGTTTCACGCAAAGTGTGGGATCTACCAACGTGTACTTATACGTAGAAATGTGTGTAAATATAAGCACACCTCTGAGCATGCTTATGCAGAGAATCTAGTGGTAGAATAGCGACACTACTCATAAAAAGCATTTAAAGGTGGAGTAAGCGATTTTTCAAAAACACTTTAGAAAACGATTCGGGTCGAATAGCAAAACAAACTTGTAGCCAATCAGCAGTAAGGGGCGTAACTACTCAAGATGTATGCAACAGCTAAAGTCTGTCTAGTACACTGGACGCGACAAAGCGACCTTTGAAAATCATTTGAAATTTGTGTCAATACGTCATGAATGGAATGCAGCAGCAGTTTTGCTTTGTTTCACAGAACTAATCCGTTGCCTGGGTTGCGTACGTATGTGTGGGGTGGAGCTATCAAAATAGGGGCGAGACACTTTTGGGATAGGGGCGTGTTTGTTTTGGTGATTTTAAATGTCCACCTTTTAGAGTGTCACAGTATGCATTAAGCATTCCACATACAGTGGGGAAAAAAAGTATTTAGTCAGCCACCAATTGTGCAAGTTCTCCCACTTAAAAAGATGAGAGAGGCCTGTAATTTTCATCATAGGTATACCTCAACTATGAGAGACAAAATGAGAAAAAAAATCCAGAAAATCACATTGTAGGATTTTTTATGTCCTCTGTTTCCTTTAGATATAAAACACTCAATTTATCATGTGTCTGGTTTTTAACAGACAAGTTGCGTAATTGGTGTCAAACCCTATATAAGACAGCTGTGACAAATGTTTGGTAAGACCTGCCAAAAAATGTGCTGCGCAGAGGATGGGTCATTTTTGTGTGCAGAGCCGCTGGATGGTTGTGTGCGTCAGGATAAGAGTGTGTTCCTCTTAGACTCCTCTGATCAACCACTGGGAATCAAACTACAGAGTATTCAAGAGGTTATTAACCAGGTAAACTTTAACACAAACTCACACACTTAACACACACCCATACTGAAAGTCACAGCTGTGTTAAAACTGTGTGTGTGTTCAGGACAAACACTGTCTGCTTCAGCTGGGCTTGAATCATGTGGAGAGTCTCCTGAAGCAGAGCATCTATCCCATCATCATCTACATCAAACCCAAAGACAAGAAGGGACGCAAGTTCAGGAGCGTATCCGGATCTGTCTGTCTCTCGGCATTGTAGTCACAACATCAGCCCAACCTCGAGCTCTTGATATCACGCAAACATTAAACCCCAGTGAAACCTGTGTGTGTTTCAGAAAGCTGTTATTGGGCCACAGAGAGGAGGACCTGATGAAGGCATGTCAGATGGAGGAGCTGCAGCTGGAGACTCTTCCTGTGATGTTCAGTACGGTGGAGCCGAACGCGTGGAGCTGCACGGACGAGCTGCTGGCCGTCATACGCAGCACCATCCTGAGGCAGCAGAGCGCCGTGGGGTGGCTGGAGCAGGAGCGCCTCCAGTAGAGACTCATCCTGACGTGTTTCACACTTACTGTTGTTTAGGATTGGTTATGAGACAGATGGTTAATGAACACACTGTCATATAGTGGTTACATCTCAAATATTCCATAATGTGAATCCTTTCATTTGAATT